ATGCTGGTTTCCTGTAAACAGACATTTCCTGTCCCAACTGCCCAGTTCCAAAGAAACAACTCAGAGGCTGAATATGAATTATAAATACTTGGCCAATTGCTCAGGCTCATTTCTAGCAAACTCTTAAATTAACCCATATTTCTATTTATGCTTTTCCAGGTGACTTGTGGGATATTACCTTATATTTTAAACATCCTGCTTGCTGGGTGGCTGGCTTGTACCACTATGACTCTGCCCTCCTTCTTCCCAGAGTCCTCTCTGTCAGGCTGTCCCACTTATACCTCCTGACAAGCTACTGGCCTGTTAGATTTTTATTAACCATTGACAGTAATACATGTTCATAGTGTAGAGAAAGATTGTTCCATAGAAGGTTCCTTCTGTGTCTGCCTGCTCTGGCCTTGTCAGCACATCCATTTCAGATGAGACACCCAGCCTCGTGGTATTGAGCACCTACTGTATCCATGGACTTTCCATTCCTAACTAATCATTGTTGGTCTGCAGCCTGTAAGTCATTCCAGTAAATCCTGATATATAGAGACAGGGATCCATCACAATTGTAATGTGACTCTAGAGCATCTCAGCTAATACACACTCAGCATTAAGTAACTGGAGTATGCATTCCATAACAGGCCTGTGTTCTGTGGAAGTACTGGAGAAGCAAAGGCAGGAGGATTGCCGCAATGTTGAAGTCAAATTGATCTACAGAGCAAGTTCCAGAGCACCAAGTATTACATAGTAAAACACAGCCTCAACAACAAAGAGTTAAATAGAAGTAACTGATACACTTGAGCAAATTAAAATAAATTCAGTTTACCAAACAATGCTATTTTCAAAAGTCAAAACACAAGGTATAAACTGAGAGGAATTATGTCTGTTATATAAGAAACAGACTAATATGAATGAAGAATGCCCAAAAGTGAAAACTCACACATCACTGAGAGGTGAAGACATCAATAAGTAGTTTAGCTACAAAAAAATTATTGTGTACATGTGAAAAATTTTCTCTCATTAGCAATCTGAGTCATACATGTTAAGACAAAATACCACTTCACTCAGAAGACTGCTTCTCCAGAAGCATTTCTGGGAGTAGCAGTTACACACATGACTTTCTCCTTAGACATCACTGGGCTATGCCTAGCTATGAGGATGTCAGGATATGAGAGGTGCCTACATTTCCCACCCTCCTTGTCAGCAGGGCATCACCATGTGACCCAACATTTTCTTACATCACTTGGATTTCAATATCTTGAATCTGATTTTTCCCTTGCCACAGGCCAGAAAAAGAACAAAATCAAGACTGTTTCAGACAGACAGCCATGTTGACTCCTCTAGGCTCTGTTCATATGACAAAGAGGAAGAAGTTGAATAATTTATGGAGCAAACAGATCCTAGGGACCTGGACTACACAACTACACAGTTAGATGGGAAAGGAAGAGAGTTCTAAGGAGGAATGGTGATAGCACAATTCTAATCTCAACACTGCCCTGGCCAAGTGAGGAAGATTGCTGTGAGTTCTAGAGCAGCATGGAATACTATGTGACTTCTAGACTCTCTTTAGATCCAGCGGGAGTATCACAAAATAAGTGATAATAGAAACATGTATATTTCACCTCAATTTTATTATTGTTATCACTACTACTATTAATATTCATATTGTTATTTATTTTTGTGAATGTTTGTGGTTTTTTTGTTTTTGTTCTTTGATACAGTGTCTTTCATGCACAACTGGCTGTTCTTGAACATTACATGTAGAACAGACTGGCCTCACACTCACAGAATTCTATCTGCCTCTGCCTCTGCCTCCTAAGTACTGAGATATAAGGTATAAACATCTCATTCGGTTTTCTTTTTCTTTCTTATAACAGTATAGTCTATGCCTTAACTAGTATACTAGTCAACTCTATGTGTTTTTCTTAATCTGTTTGGTGTATTCATTACTCACTGGTAAGAATTTAAGCATCATAATTTAAAAGACACTTTCAGCATTTGGTGTGATATTGTTATTTGGGACAACGAAAGTAAAGGTAGCTTAAATTTAATAAGAAAAGACAAAGTAGCTTCTGGTAGTTTCATTCAATGGGATACTATATATCAGAGGATGTTATGTGCAGTAATGAATTGACGTCATAGGATTAAGTACAGAATAAAGGAGAGAAGAATATATGCTTGTTTTTTTCCAGTGCTTGAGGTAGAACCTACGTTGTTGGCCATGCCTGACAAACACTTCACCACACACTGGCTGAGCAAGCAATAATGTTAGTTCTGGCTATGAAGTTAACAATCTGTTATAGACCTTTCCTTTCAATTATTAAAAGTCATCCTGTAATAAATACTATTCAAATACCATGGACAATGACTACATAATACTTCACATATAACAGTGAGTCCACAACTCTCATTACACTGAAATTTATTCAGACAGTACTCACTGTTAAGACACTGACACTATTCCCAGCCCAAACTTTCTAAAGAATTAGTAAACAATATTAATTCTACTTAACGCTGTGGTAATACTTGGTGAGTGACTCTAGCTAATTCTGAATGATCACCATGTGAATTTGAACTAAAATAAGTTTTGTCTTATACTCCACTCTATTCACTCAATCAATGTTTCATAAAGCCCTGTACTAGTGGATGGGGATACAAAGAAACATTGATGTCTCAAATGAAATTGTTCTCAAGTCAATCAAAAGCAAATAGTCAATAAGTAAAATCCTCATTTCTAAACTAATTTTTAAAATGAAAAAAGTTATAGACTGTGAAATTAGTTGGGTGTGATTGTACATGTTATACCATGAATAACCAGGTCCCAAGCCATGTATGGTACAGAGAAAGTTCAAGGCCAGCCTAGGCTGCAGAGTGAGATCCTTTCTCAAAAACAATGGAACTAAAATTGTGACTTTATTGACATCTTAAGAAAGTTGTAACCCCAGGTAAACTCAGGGATGGGGGTCTATGTTTTTATTGCCCATCATGCATTATTAAACTGAAATGAAAGAAATCTAAAACAAAGTGACAAGAAAACATTACCCCCCTGATCTCAGAAAGATCACTTTTCAAGTTAATACCGTGCATGTGAATGAAAAAAATGATGACCCAGAATAAAGTCTATCATATGATGACTTTAGGGGGGTCGACAGATGGCCCAGTGGTTAAGAGAATGACTTAATCTCATGAAAGAGCTGAGTTCGTTTCCCTGTACCTACCTGGCCCCATCTGTAACTCAGGTTCTAGAAGATCCAACCAAGGGCCTATTTTGTCCAGCTACCTTACTTCCTGCCTATCTCTACAGACCTCCAAACATCTATGGTTAGCTAATGGCAAGCTCCATTCTCTGACTTTCAGACAGGCTTTATTTGTACAAGCAAGATATCACAATATATCTCCCTTTTCTTCTAAAAGTTAAAAGCTATAACTAATAGAATCTATATATACAATATATACAGGCAATAAGTACATCAACAATATCTACCCCATTAGCATTTGGCAAATACAGAGAAAATACTCCATTATCATTTCTTGATGAGTCCAAGTCTTGTACCTAATTTGATAATTTGCATTATCAAATTATCTTTTAAAGTGTTTCAAACCTATTGCACTTAACACATCAGACAGGCAAAGAGATAAAATCTGAGTTCTTGAGTTATTTTTTCACAGTAAATTCCTGTCAGAGGAATTGTGAGGTAAATGCAGTTGTTATCAGAGAAATGAGATACAGCAAGAAAGAACCCTATCCCCAGACTGATGGGCTATAAGTTGGAAGGTGAAAAATGATGATTTATAATGGAATCAACCATTTCCCTTCCCAGGCATCTTGGAGTTCACTCAGATGACTTCAATCATTGGATACACACCTAATAAGTCCAAGCGATACAGGTTTCTCCTTCGGCAAATGAAGGGACTGTCTTCTTTTGTTTAGCCTCAGATCAAGTAGCTAGCTTGAATGTAAGGAACAGGTTATTCCAAAATCACAAATTTAAATGCTGGCCAGGTGCCCTGAAAGTATACTAATGCACACTGCTCTAGGAGGCTATAGAGAACCCAGCTCTGGTGTTCCAGCTGATCCTTCATAAGGTATCTGCTTCTCAGGACCACTGGCTTCATGCACTTTGAACTGTTATTTCTCTTTCTAGGTTTAGGCCGAGGAAAGATGAGATGGATTTGGGCATGTATCTTGTCAGGGATTGGCCTCACTAAATGAAAATACACAACTCCCATGTTTGCATATGAGCAGAGCAAATCTGGTTCCTCAAGGCTGTCTTAGTTAGGGTTCATACTGCTGATGTGAAGCACCACCACATAAAAACAAATTAGGGAGGAAATTTGGCTTACACATTCATGGTGCTGTTCATCAAGGAAGACAGTCAGGATAGGGATCTCAAACAAGATAGGAAACTGGAAGCAGAAGCAGATACAGAGGCCAAGAAGGAGTGTTGCTTACTGGCTGTCTCCCATGGCCTGCTCAGTCTGTACACTGACAGAAGCCAGGAACCAGCCCACAGATGGAACCACCTACAATGGGCTGGGTTACGCCCATCCATCACTAATTAAGAAAATGCATTACAGCTGGATCTTAGGGAGGACTCTTCTCCACTGAGGTTCACTCTTTTCAGATAACTTCACTGTGTGTGTCAGGTTGACGCAGGACTAGCCAGCACAGAAGCCAGCACACAGGATAACAGGATAGGGAAGGGTCACTGAATCCCGAAACCTAAGAGCTGGGGATGTACAGCGAAGAGACTAAGGGAAAGGTCACTTCATTCCCAGCCAATTGTGTCAATGTTTGAGACATGAACTCCAGCTTCGCCCTACCCTGCCCCTGCCCCTGCCCCCTGCCCCTGCCCCCTGCCCACTGCCCACTGTCCACTGCCCTCTTATTCAGGAGCCCAGGCTTTCCCTGGCCACCTCCAGCCAATGCAGACACCTAGTTCCACACTGAACTCCAGGAGCACAAAACAAGCAGACACACAAAGGAGCAAGGCATCTGCTCCCATCCTCACCTTTGCCTTCATTTTGATGCTTGGCTTTGATCTATTGTGGTTCTTGAATCTGCTCCTGGTGGACATTCTCTGGCTCTTCCGTGCTTGCTTTCAAAGGGCAAATTCTGTTAGCAGTGAGCAGCAAGTCTCCTTGGAGAGCGTGAGACTGTATTCTGTCTGAACCAGAAGGCAAAAGCATTAGTGCCTGGAGGGACTGGAGGAACCGGAGGGAACAGTGGGGACCTAGGAGAGGAAGGAAGAGAAAGGCACCTAAGTCAAGCCCTGGCACCAAGATCTGACTTGAACTCCCTTGGGAATCTCCAGGCAGCTTCCTCTTCTGCCTTGTGATGGGCACAGGATCATTCCATGGCTGAACAACACTGTTGAGACCCACTCAGCGATCGCGCCAAGCCAGCGTCCATTGCCTCCCATCCTGCCTGTGTCCTGGCTGAGGCTGCCAATGTCCGTTACTCGGCAGGGATGACAGTTATCCCAGAATTCCCTTTGGAGAGACTTGAATGAGTCATCGGCTGCCCTCTGACGTGCCTGGCTCAACCCAGTCAGAGTTCTCTTCTCAAGAGATGGCTCTGGGAAGGTTCTCTGCTCTCATGATTCTGGGCACATAAGTTTTTCATAGCAGCCTACTGGCCGCTGCTGCCCCCTGGCGACCCTTATGACAAGTGCACCGGGAGCTTTGTCCCAGTCCTTAGGAGCTCAATGAAGGGCATGTGCAAATCCCCTCTTGGTTAGTGGAGGACTGCTTTATTTATACACAGGCAATAAGGAGAGTCCTGTAGGTGGGACAGATTGAACTATTGGGCTAAATACTTCTCTGCGCAGTCCCAGGTCCCAACTCTTGGCTCCTCCCGCATAATGGACTTCCCTTTGGGGCCAACAGGAGAGGGAACATGTCCACACAGCAGCAGGTGCCCTGGGCTGCAACCCCTTGCTCTGTGCTCTGCTTCAGGAGACCCTCTGGATATGCTGACAGACCTCCTTGCCACCTTCTGTGTGGGATGTGGTCAGGCTCTTTTCCCGTCCAGAGTCCAATGTCACCCTGATCTCCTCCAAGATGTTGGACCCCAGATTGAAAATCAACATTGGATTGGGAAAAGCCTGATTGTTAAAACTCTAAGGAAGAAGAAACTCTACTGTTGAGGCAGAAAAGAAAACTCCAGAACACCATCAAGCCTCTATTCTAGGATATCATGAAAAACATGACGTATTAGGAGTCAGTCACTTTAGGATGTTGTTAGCTTTCTCCAATGTTTGTTGAAATGTTAGGGACCTTTTCTGGCTCCTCTCAAATAATTTATCCAGTGCTGTGGCCCTGATTTATCAATGAGACATGACAAATTCATTTATAATGACAATGTGTGTACACGTCAAGATCTGAAGTTGGTAGAGACTTGTAATTCTGAGCATTCATTCCACAGTCAGTGATGATATTAGTTCTTGGTGCTGAACAAACACAAGCTCAGATTGAGGGAATCAGCATTAGGAACCTATCCTAAAGGATCTCACATAAACTACATAACTAAGTAGTTAAAGGCAGTGAGATAAATCTGTATGGGAAATAAGCTGATGCAAGTTGAGGGCTTCAGAGGAGAACTGGACTATGTGTGTGAGGGAGTGTGGTGAGTACTGAATCGCAGAAGAAAAGCTCTTCAACAATTGGTAATTAGTTTGCAGTGATGGACAATTAGCACATAGCAGCATAGGTGCAAAATTATGTCTGAGCCACACGCCCAGCGCCTGTGGTTAAGTCTTGAAAAGTAAGTGCTTGGGCATCTTCCTTAGAAGGAAAAGATGCATTCCGGAGAAAATAGTTTAGCCTAGATACATGTAAATAGGGTTTTCAGAGATCCACTCAAACATTAGGTATGCTAGAAGGTGAAAAGTTTTATGTATGAATGGATGGACATCTTTTTAAATTGCTCATTGCATCAATATAATTTCATAAATTCTTTGTGATATAACAGAATTGAATATTAGAGGAAGTTTCTTTTATTTTGGATAGTGAGTCTCATGTAAACCAGGTTGGCCTTGAACTTCTGTTTATTGCTTTATTTTAGGCAACATAGTCCATGCCAGCCTCAAATCTGATATGTTGCTATGAATGACCTTGAACTCCTGATGCACATTTCTATCCCCTGAATGCTGAGATTATAGGCAGTTGCCCCACAAGTGTTTTTGTGTACCACTGGTGACTAGCCCAGGGTTTAGTGTCTTCCAGCTAAGCACTCCAGCTGAGCTCCAGCCCAAAGGATTTTTTTTCTGTTTTTCTGCACAGGAGACTAGGCTGTGATTTTCTGACTCCAAGGAAGCAGTGGGGTAGGACTCACCTCTGAGCCCTCTGGGTCTGGGGCTCAATTCTGTGCATCTGACCAAGGAAGCAGTACACATTGAGCTCCAGAATGTCCAAAGCAGAATCTGGACAGGAAGGTCAGAGCCAACTGGGAGAGACTTCCTGTGCCATGCTGAGCTGCTGGACACAGCACTTGAACTATGGGGAGTCTTTGAGGTAGAGAAGAGCCATGCTTAGGTTTGTGATGCATTGTCATGGTAACTGGCAGGACAGAAGGATGGGTCAGTCTATGTAGAGTGAGAGCAGAGGCAGTGAGACCATGTGGTTGACAATCAGAGTCACATAAAGACATTCCTTCAAATCTAACTGAGATTCATATCACCAGTGCATATTTGCACCTGAGAAAAGCAATGTGGCAGAAGAGACTGAATAAATTACCTGGTCCTAGAACTGAGTCCAGAGAGAGCGCTTAGTGTTGAGTTCTAGCCCCACTGCTTTTTTAGTATTAAAAAAGTTGAACAAAAAACAAAAAAACATCACACAATACTAATCTTCACTTTTCTCATCATCTTCAGAATGTTTTGGACCCTAGACCCCTAAAATAGAACTGGATCTAATTGAGATAATTCTTTTTTATCTTTGTAATGAATTTATTTAAATTAGAAACATGCTTGCTTCACATGTCAATCCCAGCTCTCCCACCCCTCCTCCCTTATATCTCCACCAGCCTCCCACCCAATCCCCACATCATTCCCCAGGGAGGGTGAGGCCTTCCTTGGGGGATCTCCAAAGTCTGTAATTTCCTCCAGGGCAGGAACTACGCCCTTCCCCATGTGTCCAGGCTGAGAGAGCATCCCTCTATTTGGAATGGGCTCTCAAAGGTCATTCATAAACCATGGTAAACACTGATCTACTACCCAAGGCCCCAGTGATTTCTGTGGCCTCCTCCCTGGCACCATATTCATTGAGTCTGTATCAGTCCCCTGTTGGTCTCTCAGGTATCAGTCTGGGATTCAAGAGCTCCCCCTTATCCGGTCAGCTGTCTTTGTGGGTTTCACCATCACGGTCTTGACCCCTTTGCTCATCACTCCTCCATCTCTGTCACTAGGTTCCAGGAGTTCAGTTCAGTGTTTAGCTGTGGGTATCTGTCTCTGCTTCCATCAGTCACTGGATGAAGGTTCTAAGGATGTCATATAAGGTAGTCATCAACCTTACCATCAAGGAGGGGCAATTAATATAGTCTCTCAACTATTGCAAAGCAGTGCAGATGGGTGGAGCTGGGGTTTGGCAGCCTGGAAGATCATTGATATGTCACTGACTCTCAGGGCATCTAGGAACTCTTCCTCAATACATCTGTAGTCAGGGAAGTTAGTTGGGAAAATGGGCTCATTGCAGTACCTGCAATTATTTTCACAACAATAGCAAGCAATGTTTGTGTACACATGATTCACAATGTGACTCTGGTTATTATTAAAGGCCACCATTTGATGTTGTTCTGTGAGTACTGTGGGCCCTTAAATGATCTTGACAAGAATGAAAAAAAATAAAAACCCTGCAGAGATAGACCTGAGGTTTTATTCTTTCTTGTTCAACTGTGAGTCCTGCATTCAGTAAACAATCAGTGGGTGAGTATTCTGCCCTCATCTACCTTGTGAGGAACCTGTAAACACCATTACTCACCAAAGAAGATGGAACCTGATCTAGTCTCCAGGATTGCATAGCTATTTATACAATTGTACATCTGTCACGAGGCCACACTACATCATAAAAATAACTGGGTTGGTGAAAGAAACATTTGATGTTCCTACCAATTGTAAACTTTTATCTCTTAATTTACAGTTTTCCATTTCCATCCCAGGTTATATGGGAGCACTAAAGCAGATTTCATGAGCATGGTAGGAACACAAGCAATTTTGAACGTTGCTATTAAACCAGTGGCATGACATGGAGTTATATCACCTTAAACTGGTGTTCCCTTACACTCCATATGGTACTGAGATATACTTTGTGTATCTCAGGTAGCAGACTGGCCAAGGAAAAATAGGTTTTCTAGGTTCTTCCTGTATATGTCACATGGAGATCAAAGTGGGGCTTAGTCTGGGGTTACCTTCCCAGGAGACACTGCAGAGAACAGCTGTCCATTCTGAACCACAATGTGTGATATGTATATCAATATGTATCACTAGTGTCACCACATAAAACACTTCTCTTATTGCTTCCAAATAGATAAGAGCAAACAGACCCCAGAGACAAATAAGAGTCCCATACAACTTGAATCATGGAACTAAATGCAGCTAAGGCCTCACACATGAATTTACAAATCATAACAAGAGACTGATGAAAGCCCAGATAGTTTTGTTCTCAGGACCTTTACAGGCAGCCAAAGAGATAAAATCAGAGGTCTTGAGCATTTAGTCATACTATATTATTGTCACAGGAGTTCTTAGATAAATGCAATCGTTATAAAAAAAATGAGATGTAGCAGTCTGATGGGCTCTAAGTTGGAGGGTGAAAAAAAAATCACCTACAATGAAAATCATTCAGAATCATCCACTCCTTTTCCCAAGCATCCTGGATCCTACTCTGATGACTTTATTCATTGGGAACAGACACAACTATTCCAAAGGAAGCCAAGTTTTTCCTTTAGCAAATGAAGGGGCTATGTTCTTTTGTTTAGCAACAGATCAAGTAGTTAGCTTGAATTTAAGGAGTAGGTTATTCCAAAATCACAAATCTAAATCCTGGACCCTGCAAGAATATTAATGCAACTGCTCCAGGCTGTAGAGAGCCCAGAACTGGCGTCCTAGTTGATTCTTCATAAGGTATCTGCTTCTCAGGACTACGGGCTTCATATGCTGTGAACTGTATTTCTCTTTCTAGGTTTTGCACAGAGGAAAGATGAGGTGAATTTGTGAGTATATCTTGTCAGGGATTGGCCTCACTGAATTAAAATACCCAACGCCCACATTTGCATATGAACAGAGCAATCCTGGTTCCTCACAGGCTGTCTCAGTTAGGGTTTATACTGCTGACATGAAACACCATGATGTGACAACGAGTTGTGAAAGAAATTTGGCTCACACTTTCATGTTGCTGTTCTCCAGGGAAGACAGTCAGGGCAGTGACTCAAACAGGATTTGAACTTGGAGGCAGAAGCAGATATAGAGGCCATGGAATGGTGCTGTTTACTGGCTGTCTCCCTTGGCTTGCTCAGTCTGCTCTTTTGTAGAATCCAAGAACCAGTCTAGGGATGGAATCACACACTAGGTGTCTGCACTTCCCGAGCCCCTGCCCCTTCCCTTGCCCCCTGCCCCTGCCCCTGCCCCTGCCCTCTCATTCAGGAACCCAGGCTTCCCCTGGTCACTTCCAGCCAATGCAGACACCTAGTTCCACACTGAACTCCAGGAGCACAAAACAAGCAGACACACAAAGGAGCAAGGCAGCTGCTCCCATCCTCACCTTTGCCTTCATTTTGATGCTTGGCTTTGATCTCTTGTGGTTCTTGAATCTGTTCCTGGTGGACATTCTCTGGCTCTTCCGTGTTTGCTTTCAAAGAGCAAATTCTCTTGGCAGTGAGCAGCAAGTCTCCTTGGAGAGCCCGAGACTGTACTCTGTCCGGACCAGAAGGCAGAGGCATTAGTGCCTGGAGGGACTGGAGGAACTGGAGGACCTGGAGGGAACAGTGGGGGAGGGATGAGACAAAGGAGAGAGGAGCAGAGTCAAGCTCTGACCTCAAGATTTGACTTGAACTCCCTTGGGAATCTCCAGGCAGCTTCCTCTACTGCCTTGGGATGGACACAGGATTATGCCAGGGCTGCACACCACTGTTGGGACCCACTCAGGGATCGCACGTAGCCAGGGAGCCTCCCATCCTGCCTGTGCCCTGGCTGGGATCTGCTGCGGTTGCCTATGTCCATTACTCGAGAGGAATGACAGTTATCCCAGAAGTCCCTTTGGAGAGATTTGAAGTGCATCATCGGCTGCCCTCTGACGTGCCTCGCTTAGTCCAGGCAGAGTTCTCTTCTCAAGAGATGGCTCTGGGAAGGTTCTCTGCTCTCTTGACTCTGAGCACATAAGTTTTTAATAGCAGCCTACTCGCCGCTGCTACCCCCTGGAAGCCATTATGATAAGCACATCTGCAGCTTTATCACAGCTCTTGGGGTTCAGTGCTGGATATGCCCAGAGCCACAGTGGCTAGTGGAGGAATGCTAAGCTGTCCATAGGGAGTTAGGGGAGGGGAAGCCCTGTAGGTAGATGAGATGGAGCTCCCTAGATGAATCCTTCTCTGTGCAGTCCTAGGTCCAAGCTCTTGGCTCCTCCCGAATAATAGATGCCCTTTGGGTCCAACACAAGAGGGAACCTGCTCACCCAGCTGCAGATGCCCTGGGATGCACCGACTGCTCCATGCTAGCTTCAGCTCCATAAGGAGACCTTCATCAGGAAACCCCCGGATCTGCTGACAGACCTCCTTGCCACCTTCTGTATGAGCTGTGATCAGGCTCTTTTGCAGTCCAGAGTCGGGTGTCACCCCGATCTCCTCCAAGACATTGGACCCCAGATTGAAAATGAACACTGAGTTGGGAAGAGCCTGCCTGTTAACACTCGAAGGTGGAAGAAGCTCTACAGTAGAGGCAGGGTGGAACACTTCCTGAAAACCATCAACAGCTCTATGCTACACACAGCTAAGTACTAGGATATCATGAAAAGCATGGTGTATTAAGAGTCAGTCACTTTAGGATGTTGTTAGCCTTCTCCTACCTTTGTTGAAATGCTAGGATCCTTTCCTGGCTCCTCTCAAATAATCTCTCCAGAAATGTGGTCCTGATTTCTCAGAGACATGACAAGGCCATATCCGATGCCAAAGCATTTACACTGCAAGAGCTGAAGAAGGTAGAGACTTGTAACTCTGAGCATTCATTTCCTCAATCAGTGATGAATAAACACAGGGGGAGAATGAAGGAATCGCATTAGGAACCTACCCTGAAGGATATCACATTCATAGTCTTTACAGTAGGCAAGGAATCTTCTAATTGTCCTTGGAGAAACTGTCTTCCCCAGGGACTGGGAATGACCATACCACTTTTGACATGGGGGGGTCTTTGAGAGGTCTCCCGAGGAGTTTCCCAATTTTAAAGGGTTGCTTTGTCTGTCTGTGGTCGATCTACATTCATTGGTCCAGTGTCGCCCTTTGCCACATCTACACAATCCAGAAGGCTGAGGCCTTCTGTTTGAATCATTCCTGGGAGGAGCATTATCTCTGGGAATGCTTTGCCTACTATTTTTTCTCATATTTCCTATTCTACCACAGTTAAAACATCTGATATTTTGATTTCTGTTTAAATTTCTGGAGATTGCTTCTCCTACCCAAGTTTCTATGTCCTCACAGTTAAGGCATTTGGCATCTTGGTGCCCCTTTAGACCCTTAGAAATTGCCTCTCCTACCCAGGTTCCTGTATCTTGACTGTTATACTCAATGTTTGCTGTATGTAAGACCCATCTGTCCAAAGGTTCTGATCTCATATTCAATGGCCAAAGTTTTTGTTTACATTGTGGGTTTGCATTCTCATAAGTTAGAGACTCTATAAGGATTTTTTCTAGACTCTGTGTCAGGTACTTGAAATTCTACTTCTCTGGACAGTTTTTCCAAAAACTGAGTGAACCTTTCTCTTGGACCTATTATCACTCTGGTACATAGTTCAATTTTTTTCTCCTGGTTCATGAACCTTGATCAAAGCATTCATATCTGCTTTACAGCATAAAGAACAGGATGTGTTTGTCATATTCAGTCTGGGTCTGTGGATCAGCATAACCCCCCCTCACCAAGAAATTTATCTTTGGGAGCCTCATAAACTTTCTTTAGGCCTCGAAGCTTGAGGGTCTTCTCTTCCTCCCTCCACAAAACTCTCCATTGTATTTGAGATGAATTATCTAACACCACTGAAATCAAGTGACCCCATTCTTTTGGTGTTATTCTATTTATGCTTGCCCAAGAGTTCAGCAGTTCCCTGACTTACATAGGGGTTGTGGACCCCATGCAAAACAATGGCCTTCTTAATCCCTTCAGGTTCTTCGTCTGTATTGGCTCACCCTGATAAGTAATGCAACCATTATGGTGCCTCTTCATTGCTGGCCTTTCAGTCATAGCTACTGGGAAGGCCATAGGAGATGGCCTAACAACCTTAGGAAGTTCTCCGCACCATCTAAAAGGTGTACAGGAACAACTGTGGCTAGTGCCTCTGAATCTGATTTATCAGATTGTAGATCATCTAAGACCTGCAGTCTTGTAACCATTGTGTTTCTGAGTGACTGAATATCCTGGACCTAACAGAGTCTGCCTGTTCCTTGGACTCATCAATTATGCGTGATTCCAAGCATTTAATACTGTTGTCTCTAGAGGCCTGAATAAAGTTGCCTTGTAGGAATAGTGTCCTATCTCTAGCCATTCATTATGTTGAGAGATGGAGTGAATTAGGTCAGTAAATTTGACAATCTAATGTTCCAGTCTTCAGTTCTATTCATGGAGTCATCATACATAGAACGAGTTGTCTCTGCAAGCCTAATAGCTCCCACCTTACTGGATTCAATTTTGGCCACAAGGGCAGTGGACAAGAAATCAATTCTGTCTTGTAAGCTGTTATGTCTAAGTTCCAAGTTACCTACTTTGTTAGACAGTTCCTCATTGACCTGAAGATTTTGAATTTTTGTCTCTAATTTTTAATCGTTTGTACGATTCCCCAGATATCTGCCTTATTATTAATAAATCTCTTCCATGTGATTATATATATGAGGAATCTAATCGTGAGCATTAATGCCATAATTGTCTCCCAATATGCCATAACATTGGCAATGAGATCTCTAAGTTCTGCATCATTAGATTATCTGCCATGGTATAAAGTGAGTAAGGGCACCATCAATTTTAAGGTTGCAAACTTATCTCCAAAGATTTTCTCATTGAGGAGAGGATTTTTACCTGCAGTCAGTGTCCTTGGCCAGCAGATGGTGGAGGTATACTGCCCAACACAGCTCTGCCACAAATCCTCGGTATTCTTCCAAATAATAACTGAAAGATTCTAAGCAGTTTGTACAGAGAATTAGCGAGCAGTTTTGGGAAACTCTGTGCAGATTGGGAGACCCGTGGCTAGGTAACAGCCGAGAAACTTTACAGGCAGAAAACGGAACACATGCTATGCAGTCCGGCTTCCCGGTGATGTGCACGATTCTGTGCTGGCAAAGGAGGCAAGTGGGCAGGCGCAGCATGGAGGAGGAGGAAGGCAGCTGTGCAGTGGGAATAGAGGCAGGGCAGCACAGCTTTCAGGATGCTCTTTCTGGCGGAGTCCCTGCTGCAACTCGGCTCCATAGAGCAGCCCACCAGAGGACTTGCTAGGCAGCAGCAGAGGTGTTGGCAGGGGAGCCAGGCTGCCAGGTGGGCACACTCTCCAGGGCTGCAGGCCAGGCTGTCCCATCGGTCTCTGGAGAGGTGAAGGCACAGCCTGCGAGGAGAAACCACAAAACAAGGCTGGGCAGCCACGGAGCAGGCTATGCTGAAAGGGGCAGCCGGCTCAGGCTTTAGAGCTCGGGACTTGCTCAGAGCGGAGGCAGCAGCAGCACAAAGGAAGTGTGCCGAGCAGTACCAGGCAGACTGGTCAGCAGCAAACAGGGGCTCCAGCCACTGAAATCTGGAGAGTGAGTCAGAACTACTCCTGACACCCAATACACACATGCATGCCAGTACCTCCCTGTCCTCACATCTGGTTTGGTAAATGGATGAATCGAAGGATGTGTAGGTGGTTAAAAGCCTAGGATTTTGGTGAAATGGAGTTCATCTACTCTAAGAACATATGTCCCTAAATCTCAGCCCCAAATCAAGTGAACTCCTGACCTTGGTTGTAGGTGACCTCAAAGAGGACCACTTGCAAGTCTGCTACTCAACTAATCTAGCGTCCTTTAAGGAGGCTTGATGAAACTTGACCTTGCTACCAAACCCAAGAGCCCAAACACTAGGAAAGGGAAGCTGGGAGATGAGCTCAGATCTCCCTGGTGAGCAGCTGTAGGGTTCTGAGGGCCTCCAAAAGTGTTCAGCCTGTTACAAGCTCCAACCCCCATCCACCCACTAAAGCTTTAAGCCACCTCAAAGTATTTGTTTGAGTTTGAGAACTCACGGAGCCCTGAGGAGAGTGTTACCAGGAGATACGTTTATATGAGAGGCTGTGGCATGCATTTTTGTGGACCATGTGTATTCTGTGATTTTGGGACTGATTGTTTAGATAAAAGAGGGAAAATTCTGGGGGGTGGGGGGGTGGGTGTTCAGATAAAGCAAGGTAAACTTTGGAATAGAGGTGGCTGCTCAGGGATCCCATGGAAAGCCCAGAAAGACCTTTGGAAGAGGGAGGGGTTTGCTGTTGGTCTGCACTGTTTAACTGAGCTTTGTGGGCAGGATTCCCTGGCAAGTTCCCAGTATGTGGGCAGGACCATTCACTCCCCTTCCTAGCAGGTCAGAGTCAGAAAATCTATTGACCTGGGAGTCTGTCCCCTGCAGGATGTGTCTCCAAGCTCTGTTCTTGGTGTTGCAAGAAATCCTCGTGGTTTGGGGTGAGTAATTTGAAATAAGAATTTGTGAGGACACATTTTAAAAATATTTGCAGAATTGTACATAGAGCAGAAACAAGACAGACTGATTCAGTTCTGCAGGATGCTTGGGCTTGCCTTCAAGTGGCCCAGAACACTGGACAGGACACACTGAGGTCAGGAGAGGACAAAATCCCTGAGACCCAGCAGCACACTGTACAGAAGATACAGAAAGACAAGGAGCCAACTCTAACACAAACGGAGTTTGTGCACAACTTCAATCAGGTGGAATAGGTTTCCTTACTTCACTGGACCTCAGAGAGGATTAGGTGGCTTCATTTCTAAACCTCTTAAGGAGATGCACATTTGCAGTAGGGCTTGCCTTCATGCCTCTATATGTGGTTTGCCCTCCATGCATATTTTCTACAAATACATAAGTATGTGATATATTAATAGATAATATGAGATATGGTCAAGATAATACATCAGGAACCAATAGTCATTGAAAGACATGGTGTTATTCATTGTTCCCAACATAGAACTGGGGGTGGGGACACAGGAAGTACCAGGACAGTGAGGAGGCTCATGGCTTCAGCCAGTGCCTCTTCTGTTAGCGTTTCAAGGCATGCTAGAGAACAGTGCCCATCTTGGCTGTCTGATGCCAGGCTCTGGGTGATGAGGACCGGGGGACAGGTGGACAGTGGTCCACACTATCAAATCTGAGTAAAGCAAGTTTAGGACCATGACTCTGTAATGGACAGACCCTGAGAGTGACAGTTCCCACAGGGCATGATGGCCCCATCAGCATCAGACACACAATGGTTACTGTGTGGCTATAGCATTGATTTTAACATGTATCTGGAGCATTTTATTGACTGAGAAAAGGGGCTCAAAGGGATGTGTGTTCTTCCAAGATCACCTGGAAAATCAGGTCCTGGGCTGTCTCTATCTCCTGAAGAGTCAGTGCTCAGCAATAAGCGCCCCAAAAGCCTCATCCTGTCTGAACATGTGACTCTGAAAAAGGCCTGGAACTGAGTGGAAAACAGAGTAAAGAATGACTCAGATATGGAACAGAGCATTCCTTTGATGTTGGTTACCCTGGCAATGCAAGTCTTTCCATCTTTAGGAAGTTCATACCGGATGCCTCCAAATTAAATGGCATATCAATAGTTACCTAGAAAGACTCTTGTTATGAATACTGCCAAGAAACAGGAATGTACATCTGGTATACAGTAGGTAACATATGTGTGCAATTTAGATGATGCAAGTCATAACTGCTCTTTGTAGCATTCTCGTTCTCCCCCACCCCCACCCTGTCACCTGCACACTCTGCTCTGGATGATCTGGGAGAAAGTTCACAGATAATTCAGCCATGACTGAGCAATTGCGATCAGACTTTACCCTCTTTCACTTCTAAAGCTCACATCTCTCCCATCCCTCTTTTCAACTCCTCGTCTCCTCGTCTTCTTAGACTTCCAAGGTTCATGCCCATCTCTGACCACCACTCTGGTGGGTGTTCTTATCAGCTCTGGCTGTGTCTGTAATCATGGCTCTTTCTCTTGCTTTACACGCCTACAGTGGAGTCTCATACACGCATGCCACAGACTCTTCCCGTTTTGAGATGATGACATGCAGTGCCATTCTTGTTGGTTTATCTTTGTCTCACTCTGCAGTTCAGCCTGTTTTAACTTGCTATGTAGCCCACATGATCTAGAACTTAAGGTGATCCTGTCTCAGCCTCCCAAGTACTGGGGTCATAAGTGTACCCCAAGGGCCCTGATTCATTTATCAGGACTTCTCACTGTCTTCCCATCGCACCCATGCCATAGGGGGCTGGTGTTGCCTACCCGCCCTTAACCTTCTTTCTTCCCTTTGCCCACGTCAGGGCAGGGAGAAAGTCCTCATTCCTCATGATCATCACCGTGTCTCCGCGTAGCAGTTTCTTCCGGATTATAAATGGGGCTCAAGCACTGTAAACAACTCCTGAGGTTCATGAAAAAATATCAAAATGCCTTGTTGCCATCTATGGATCGCCTCATATCCAGGTTTCACAGGAAGTCTATTTCAGTGGTATACTAAAAATGAAAGTTAAACAAAATCATAATTATTAACAGCAATGACAAAAAGGAGACAAGCATGGGATTAACTTCTAATGGCACCAGGCATTGTTCCAAACTTGTAACCAGAATTTCCCAAGAGTGTTCAGTGTTAATGGCTGTCTTTATAAACTCTTCTTAGACTTAGGATGAGGTTACACTCTGATAATTTAGTGATATTAAAGTAAAATACACATCATTAATCAAATGTCATTATGGCAAAACATCATAAGTTGTGTATCCCCCAGAATTTCCCTTGCTTTTGCTCACAATAATTAGCAGCAGAGATAAATACAACCAGAAGCCCATATTATGGAACTGGTTATTAAGATCATGTCTCGCAGACACCATTTTATAAGCTTGATTTCCATAAAGACTTTCTGATGCCCAGGCAAGTTCTAAGAAAAACCCGGAATTTTCTTTTCTGACCACACCTTGTTATTATTATATTTAACTTTATACAGCATCCATCATATTTTTTATTCTTTCAAGTTGCTCTCAGCTCTTCCCCAACTTCCTACCCACCCACCTCCATGTTCTTTCTCTCTCTCTCAATTTCTCTTTTGAGGGAGGAATTGATATATTCTCTGCATCTAAACAGGAAGAATTAGGACCAGGAGATAGAAAGTATGGGTTACAGGTGATGCTCTGACAAATAGGCTATTAACAAACAAGGAGACACCAGAATTGGTAGTGATGAAATGTATGCATGTCCTCCTGATATTTAAAGGAGGGCTAGAAGGGAGCAGGACAGATGAGGAAACTTCAGGGAGATGAAGAATGATGATATCTCCTATTGAAGAATAGAGCCAAAGGGTCAGAGAGGGTACTGACCCAGCTTCTCCTCCCCTCGGAGGATCCTACACAGACAGATCAGGGTACTTTAGATCATGTGTCTTCAGTGCCAGAAAGGCTCATGTTATGTAATTGCCCACCATGTGAGTTCTAGTCATTTAACCAGGTATCCAGTGCCCTCCCCAACACACTGGAGTCTAAAGATTGCCTTCTCTCCATGGACTCCACCTGGGCATCAATAGGCTGTCTATCCTTGCCAGCCAGGGTCTGTGCAATACTTTCTGGGCCTCTTGCTTTTGCTGGCTGCTTAATCACTCTGTATCTCCATCATGCCTCCTCCTGCCACCATTCAGAAGACCTCATTTCTTCCAACCTCTCTAGCACCTGCCTAGTTCCTTTGGGAAATTTCTTACCTCAAGCATCAAATCGAGCACATCTGTTTTTCAATAAGGCCACCTTCCTGGGACAAGGGCCACTTTGTCTTCCTCTAGAGACAGAGGCCCCTTGTTCCTCCCTGACTCCGGCATGCACTCAGCATCAGGGACCTGATGGACACAGGTTTCTCAGAAGGAGACCAAAGGCTCTGTTTGTGCTAGCAGTTTCTTTCCCACTGTGACTTTGGCAGCATGCTTTTCCACCTCCCACTCCAGTGTGATTTAGACTCAACCCTCTGAGGTAAGTGTTCCTCATCTTAATTTCAGGTCAGAAGCAAATGGTACCCATCGGTATTTAGGTAACTTACTCAAGGTCATGTGCTTAGAAAATGGGGAACCCACATGGAATCCAGGACTGGCCTTGTCACTCTGATGTGTTTTTTACGTCTCCATGTTCCACAGGGCACCCATCCTCACCACCCGTGGTGGACACTGTTCATGGCAAAGTCCTGGGGAAGTATGTGAGCTTAGAAGGCTTCCCACAGCCTGTGGCTGTCTTCCTGGGAGTCCCCTTTGCCAAGCCTCCTCTTGGATCCCTGAGGTTTGCTCCACCACAACCTGCAGAGCCCTGGAGCTTCGTGAAGAATGCCACCTCCTACCCCCCTATGTAAGCTGCTAGGGGGCTTCCTTCAGGGAGAGCGTATGTCTTAGAGTGATGCAGGTGGGAGTCAACCACTGGTCTAATAGCTTTCTGAGACCCTCAAGATTACTTTAGAAACATTACAGACTTTTTATTCTTCTCTAGAATCCTCTGCTTGTCACCCTCTTTAAACTGACAATATAAACAGAACGGGGTATAAGAAGTACTAATGAGTTAGTATATGAGGGAAATTAAAACCAGTGTCTGGGACTCCAAGATGACTCAGCAATTCCCACCAATTCTATTTCTGTTCTACACTGGTCCTTCATGATCTCTCATAAAGAAGTCAACAGTTATTCTTTCGTAGGAGCCTGACA